CGCTTGACCTTTATCTGCAAAAGCGAAGCGTTCGTGCCCCGCGGGAAGCGAGAAGTGTCTGTTGAGCCGGTAACGTTCGTCTGCACTCGCCGCCGCGAGGCGCTTAGCGTCTCCGCGGGACCCTCGCCAGGCCTTTGCGGGCCTACGTTTACTGGCGAGGTGAGTGGGCACCGGGAGAGGCTGGTCAGAATGGCCAGTGGCCCCAAACCAGGGCTGGGTGTGCTGCACGTCACTGAATGCCTCCCAGCAGCAAACGGTTTGAGTCTGTGCTCGTTTTTCCCAAAGGTCGCCCAACGTTCCCGCGGCTCATTTCTTGGGACCTCCCCTCGTTCATGTTTCAAAGGGGCTTGGCCTCCTGTCTCTGTCATACTTCGCATGAGGTCCCACCTGGGTGACTTCATGCCGCTGCCAAGTGACATTTGCCCAGCAGCGCTCAGACCAGAGTCCATGGGCTCCTCACTGGAGTCTTGAGCTCCTGAGTCCCCTTGGATTTGGGGGCACACTGATAGAGGCTTCCTGGAATTTGGGGTGCCTTTATCCACATCAGGGTTATGATTGTGTCCCTTTCAGGCCAGTAGAGGGTTTTCAGGTAGGTGTAGTGGGGGAAGGGCAAAAAGTGGGAGACTTCACTGCTTTAAAATCTTGCTGATTCTAATGGAAACTTCCTTCCCCGTGGCAGGCGTTAGCTCTGCCCGAAGGTGTGCTCATGTTCTGAGCGTGCCCAGACTTCAGCGCTCCCCACTTCCTTTGAAGATGTTGAGTAATTCCTGACCCCTATCCCTACCTCTCAGCTTCGCTTCCTCCCTCGCCTGCACTCCCTCCCTAGGGGAGTGGCCCTTGACTTTCTCCTTCCCTTCTTTCTCCTTTCCTTTTTCTTTCTTCTCTTTCTCCCTCTTTCCTCCCCTTCTACATTTTCCTTTTTCTTCCTCCTCAGCAGTTTCACCTTCTAGTGAGTTTTATCCAGTCTCATGGCTCTAGTTATTAATATGCACTGACTCATAAATCTATCTGTGGCCCAGCCCTTTTGCCAATGCGGAATTAACTGCCTGTTGGATAAATCCCTTGGCTGACTGCCAGGCTGTAAATCTAAAATGAAACTCATCTTCCCTTTGAAGGCAACTCTTCCTCCTGTGTTGCTTAGTTCTGTTAAAGGTACCACTTCCTTTATGCATGTGGGTCAGTATATACACGTATATATATATATTCCATCATCACCCTGACTGATGCAGGTGACACATACAAAGGCTTTTCAGAAAGGAAAAGCTGGGTCCGTTCAAAGAGCTGAAGAAGACAGTGTAGCCCTACGGCAGTAACTACGGCACAAGGATCTTCCGGAAGGATTGGCAGGTTAGACTTTGCAGGCTTTGGAAGTCACATTATGAATTGTGTGTTTTATTATCAGAACAAGAGGAGTCATCAAAGGATTTTATAATGTAAATTACACAACTTTCTCTCTATTCATGTAGTCTGTAGCTAATCTGTTGCCTAACAGATCAATTATACCTTAATTCACGTAATGCACCTCAGATATCCCTCAAGGAGTGAGTGACTAATGCATGGAACTAGCCAGCAGGTGATGGAGTTATTCTGGCCCAAGAAGGCTTCAAGGGCCTTCGCATGATGTCAGCAGGTGGCTCACTACTCCACCTATACTGGTTCAGCCGGGTCCTGCAGCAATGACCACGGGGCAGCTCTGTCCTCACCAGCAACCAGGTCTTCTCTGCAGCAGGAAGTATGCCGCACCCACCTGCTCTCCCGCCATGTGCACACACGTAGGCCAGAGTGCCGCATGGAGGTGGGAGGGGTCCTATGGTTGTGATTCTTACATGTGCCTTCTGTTTGATGCCACCAGTGCCTTCCCACACGTATTCTACTACTGAATCCTGCCAGCCACCCTGGGGAATGAAAGTCCTGCACTCTGAGTCCTTCCCAGGGTCAGGCCCTTAGATGAGGTGGTGTTGGGGCTCAGTTGGAGTTTCTCAGGGTCCTCATGCCTCAGCTACCTGCACATGAAAGCAGGCAGATGCCAGCCCACTGGGCAGTGTCCAGGGCTGGGAGGCTTCACAAGGTGAAGAGACGTGGGGTGAAACAAGATCCTGGAGGTTGACATTCGTTATAGCCCGGGGTCTGTTGCTTAACCCACCGGATACCGAAGACCGCTAGAATGCCCCAGAAATTGCCTTAGAATGCAGACACATTGCATTCATTTACAAGGAGAAGCCAGAATGTCTATACGTTCATTATAGACAGGGTTGGACCAGTGCACCCTTCCTACAGGCAAATGTACCAGGGAAGCCAAACTGTGATCAGAATACTTTTTGGTAGGCTTAGTGTTAGGCAGAAATATTTGAGTGATATTTCATTCTAGCCATAGAGAGGCTTGATGAACTATGCCACCACTGCAGTTAAAAACAGGAGCCATATGGGTCTTGTTTGCAGCCGAACTCCCATATAACAGGTGCTTGATATAGATATTTATGGAATAAATAAATGAATGACTAAACACCTGTCTAGGGCTAGGATGAGCTGGCTTATCAGTGGTAACAATAACATAAGTAACACCAGCAGCTAACACATTGTCAGTTGACCATGTGCCTGGCAGGTGCCAGGCACTTTGTATGGGTTGCATCCCTCAATTCTCACAGCAGTTCTATGGGTCAGACACTGCCATTGTCCCCATTTTATTTATTTAATTTTATTTTTGTTGCAGTTTAGTCAGTTACAATGTGTCGATTTCTGGTGTACAGTGTAATGTCCCAGTCATGCTTATGTACACATGTATTCATTTTCATATTCTTTTTTTATTCGAGGTTATTGCAAGATATTGAATATAGTTCCCTGTGAAATTTGTTTTTTTAATCTATTTTTACATATAGTGGTTATCATTTGCAAATCTCAACCTCCCAAGTTTATCCCTTTCCACCCCCTTTCCTCCAGTAACCATAAGATTGTTTACTATGTCTGTAAGTCTGTTTCTGTTTTGTAGATGAGTTCATTAGTGTCCTCTTTTCTCTCTCTCTCTCTCTTTTTTTAAGATTCCACATATGAGTGACATCATGTGACATTTTTCTTTCTCTTTCTGGCTTACTTCACTAGAATGACAATCTACAGGTTTATCCATGTTGCTGCAAATGGCATTATTTTATTCTTTTTTATGGCTGAGCAGTATAAATATACCACAGCTTCTTTATCCAGTCATCTGTCAGTGGACATTTAGGTTGCTTCCATGTCTTGACTCTTGTACATAGTGCTTTTATGAACATTGGGGTGAATGTATGTATCTTTTTGAATTAGAGCTCCCTCCGGATATATGCCCAGGAGTGGGATTGCTGGATCATATGGTAAGTCTATTTCTAGTTTTTTGAGGAATCTCCATACTGTTTTCCATGATGGCTGCACCCCATTGTCCCCATTTCAGATGAGGAAACTGGGGCTCAGGGCAGTTAACTGACTAACTGCCCAAAGCCCCACAGCTAGTAAGTGATGAAGCTGGGATTGGACTCAATTCAGTTGCATTTCTGAACCTTAAGCCATGTACTATTTGTGATTTAACCTTGTTGTTCCCTGAATAAGGCTGCATCTCCAGACTTTCCTCTCCGACACCCTTCTGATATAGTTGATCACAACTCACCCCTCCTAGAGACACACTCTTCTTAGCTAAGGAAATACTGTTTTTCTGCAGGGTGACATGTTTGTTGGTACACCTGAATTTTCCCTTATCTCCAGGTTCCATGGTGGTTTTTCCAGTCTTATCTTCTGCCACTCTACGTTGACTGATATTACAGGAACCCACCTATATCTATTGCACAGAGTTTTCTCATTTCCTTAGAGAGCTTTCTCCCTTTCTCCTGATTGACATGTAGCAGTTATGTAATTTATGTGCTTATACTTCTGAGTGCTGGATGAGGGGAGAGCCCAACATGTAAGACAGGCAATGAAGCCCAGTCCATCTGTGCCTGTGAACAAAGAGCCCCGGGGGGCCAAGAACTCTCAGGGAGAAGATATAAATGTTCACCAGGGCAAACGGTAAGGGCTACATGACAGGTCAACAATTCCAGCTCTTTAATGGTGTTCCTTATTCTCTGTCATATGGCCTAGATGGGTATGGTGTTGGGTGATGATGAGGGGGAAACTGGGAGACAATGGTGTGTGTTGTACTGGGGTCAGGAGGTTTCTCATAACCTTAAAATTTCATGGTTGAAAATGCACACTAAGAAGAAAAAAATGCTGAAAGAGAAGTGTGATGCACCATTGTGGCTTTTTCCATGTGTGGTTCTGAAACTGCACAAGGTGACGCTCTCCTAACCCACCGTCAACCAGATAGATTATCCCAGGATTTCAAAAGTTCACCAGCACTGGAAAGGAGATTCTTCTACCCCTTAGACCCTTATTTCTAGGATCTAAAATATGTTCCTAATTGTCCCTCTTGTAAACTCTGGAGGAGGTAGAATATGAGAATTATGAGATTTACAGGCCTGGAGAGTGCGTCTGAGGTTTGGACTTACTATGTGTAAGTGATTTTGATATTTTCTGTATTAGTGTATTACATTCTACTTAATTAAAAAATATAGTTGTAACCTAGTGCATTAGCTTTATGATCCTCTAATAGGCAGTGAACTGCAGATTGAAAAACTGGGCGTTTACCTGAGAAATTTTACACAAGGGACAAGAGAAAGGCTGAGGAGAGAACAATATCTGTGTTTCTCTAGAAAGTACAGTGTAGTGAACTTTACACTTTTTCTGGGGAAATACAGGAGCTGATGGAGTGGGCCTGGG